CTAAACAGTTAAAAAAATTATTAAAAAACACTTACACAGCCCCCAGAGATTAGGTTTCTGCTGTCATAAAGCAATAGTAATGGAGATATTTCTCCATAAGTGTCTGTAATGTAGGCAGTAATGGGGGAGAGTCCTATCCTCCTCCCTAAGACATCTTGATATGGGTATTCCTCTGTAGAAGGTATAGGACTTGCATTCATTTTGTAATAGTAGAGATGTGCTTCCTGAGACCAACTTGGCTAGCAAGAATCAAGGATAGTGCCTGGTGTGCAAAAGGATCTCAATAAATACTCGAATGGATGAATGAGAGAACCAGAAGTATAGCCAAGGGAATTTTTTCATTTTAGGATTTAGCTATGTGTGAAATCCCAATGTTCCAAACTTCATCAGGCTTTGAGATTACACTTTCTGTTATTGCCCCCGTCATAATGATTTGGGTCTTTTATGCCACCTAATTACATGCTGTTCAGTCTTCTAACTGGAATCTCATTCCTCAGTATCTCTCCATCTAATCTCTGCCTGGAGCCATATTAAAAGGGACAGAATATTTACCACTCCTCAGTGAGCATGCCTTTAAGTAGGTCTCCCTGGCTAAGGAAAGAGGTTCCAGTCTTTGGGGGAGCAGAGTGAGGAAACATTTGTCTTTCATCTATTCCCATTCCAGGATTAACTCTTTGTAGGATGATTGATAGTGGAAATCTCCATTTCCTTTGGAATTAGTGGTTCTTAACTGGGCCAACTCCTCAGCCCCCAAACCCTAGGATATTGATAACACCTAGAGACATTTTTGGTTGTAATGACAGTTTGGGGGAAGATGCCACTGGCATTTAGTGAATAGAGGCCAAGGATACTGCCAAATCTCCTACAATGCCAGTGGATATAGGACGGCCACCAATAGCAAAGGGTTGTATAGCCCAAACAATCAGTTGTGCCAAGAGAAACTCTAGAGCAAATCTCACTTCTTCCTGCAAGTAAGTGTTGCCCTTTGGCTCCCAAATGATATAATACATGTATTCCTTATGCATTATGCGTTTGTAGGGCTGCAATGCCACAGTCTAGACTGTGCTTCGCAATTGCATTTCAATGCCATTTGTTATTTCCCCACTTGCATAAAATGAAGGTAGACTTTCACATACTTTTTGTCATCTTGCGGCAGCTACTTCTGTCCTGTGTGCCATGCTTGTACTAGAACACATGTCTTTTAAGAACCACCAGCAGTACAGTTGAAATCACGATTTAAAATAAATCTTCCCCAGTATTTTATAACATTATTACCCAAAACTCTTTAGCTCATTATGTCCAAACTGTCTAGGATTTTGTCTTTTCCAAATGAAAGTCTTAGTTACCGTTGAAAGTCTACAAAAACCATGGTAGTGGTCCTTCCCAAATTAGAGAAATGTTTGTCCTAATGATGAATTCATGTCCCAACCTCCTACAACATAAATAATATACTTAAATTTGGAGTTAGTTTCCACAAAGTTTCAAAGTTCTCTTCACTTGGACTTTCTCTTTCCCTGTTTGTTGTAGCAAATAAAAACTTTTCCAGGCATATGGCTTGTGATGGGAGTGGCAGAGAGTCTATGATGGACCCAAGGTTATGGCCTTTTTACTCTTGAAGTACATCATGTTGGAAACTGTATTACAGATTCTTGACTTCAGAAATAGGATTCCTGTAATTATGGTTTTCTACCCCCATATCACATTACACTGAGGGAATGATAGAAATGATAAACACAAAATAATAGGCAAGATCACATTTTAATCAATTATAGATATTGATTTGTTCCTCAGATCATCTATTTATAAGATTGTCTCCATAGCTTGATGTGCCAGGTTTAATTATGAATTGCTAATGGACGAACATAAATACATCTATATAAATAGGTCTTGGACAGGAGACAACAGATGTTTTGACAGTACTCATTGAATATATGTATAGTTGCTTATCAGATACATCAAACTAATTGAGAAACCTATCAGTTGAGTCCTCTTGATTCCAGTAAGGAAGAAATTAGTATTGACTTTTTCCAACACAAGAAAACTGGACTAGACAATCACGGTCATTCCTTTTAGTTGTAAAATCTGTGATTTGCTGATTTATCTTTGCTACCAGTCAAAATGAATAACAGATGTCTTCAGGAGTTTTAAATTAGGTCAGATATGGAACCAGGATGATAGCCATTGTTATACCTGGTACTGTCAATTCCTAGACCATGATTTGAAAGTAAAACTCTATTTCCATTTGAATTATTTGTGTGAGACAGTTAATTTGAAAAGAAAAAAAGAACAAGAATAGATGATCTGATGGGTGGGGGGTTTAGAGACATGTGTCCTTTTTTACTTCTCTAAGTTTTAGGACAGTTATGTAAGGAGCTTTACCAATATTTAATTATTGACATTTATTGCTTAAACTATGCTTAGAGGCAAAGAGCCATAAACATTTAATCAGAAGGATTGATTTGATTTCTGGCTTAGTCTTATTAGTCATGGGACTTTTTCAATTAAGTTAAGCCCTTTGCATTTCTTTTTCTTCATCTTTAATGCATGTGATTTGTCTCTGAGGTATCTTACTCTTCTGTTATTCATTCAGCAAGTATTTATTGGGAGTCTTGATTTTCTAAATACCATGGGAAATTCAGAGATCAATAAGAGCTCAAAGGACCTTTCTGTATATGCATATCAGTGTTGCAGCTTACCTTCTCTTTGTCCCTTCTGGGTACTTTCTTTCCAATGGCCGGTTTTGCTCAGTGGTCATAAAGCAAGTGCACAAAACAGTCCATTGGGTAGAGAAAGAAAATACTAGAACTTTCGTTCTGATTTGTGTTTTGTCCTTTTCCTGGGGTAACTGTTTATTCTGACAGTTTCAAACTTATAGAAAAGCTGCAAAATGGTGTAAAGACCTCCCATATATCCTTTCCTGGATTCGCTGATTATTATTTTTATTACATTATTATTAAATATTTATTATTTACCTTTGGGAGAGCACAAGAGAGGGAGGGGCATAAAGAGGGGGACAGAGGATCTGAATTGGGCTCTACATTGACAGTCTGACAGTGGCCCAGCCCTGACTGTCTGAGAGCATTGAGCTAGTGTGGGGTTCAAACTCACAAATCACGAGGTCATGACCTGAACCTGAACCTGGAGTCAGATGCTCAACACACTAAGCCACCCAAGCACCCCTGGATTTACTGATTATTAAAAACTTCCCAGTTGTGCTTTATTCTCTCCCAGATAACAGTGCACACTACCAGGGTTCTCTCCCTCTCCATGTCTCAGTGAGATGAGATATCTGTCTATCTATTGTCTCTCTATCTCTATGAATCTATCGATCTATCTATCTATCTATCTATCTCCCATGTAATCATGTTCCACTGTTCTAAATACTTCAGTATTTTCTTTTTAAAAAATTTAAAAAAAAATATTTACTTATTTATTTTTGAGGGAAGAGAGAGCGAGTAGGGGAGGGGCAGAGAGAGGGGGACAGAGGATCTAAAGCAGGCTCTGTACTGACAGCACCAAGCCCCCTTTGGGCCTCAAACTCAGGAACCATGAGATCATGACCTGAGCTGAAGTCAGACACTCAACTGACTGAGCCACCCACGTGCCCCAGTATGTTCTAAGAACAAGGACATTCTCTCACTTAACTACAGTACAATAATTACAAATTAAGAATTTTAGCATTGATACAGTGCTATTTCACAATCCATGTTTGAATTGCATCAATTTCTGAATGATGTCCTTCGCAGCAATTTTTGTTTCCAGCTCAGAATTGCACATTGCACTTATTTGTCATTTCTCTTTAGTTTCTTTAAATGTGGACCCATTCAGGCTAGCAGTTTGAAGAGTACAGGCTAGGAATTTTGTAGAATTTCCCCCAATTTGAGTTGTTTAGTATGTGCATTTTTGGCAGGAATACCAGAAAAAGAATGTGTCCTTCTTGGTGCATGTGGTATCTATTTATCTCCTTACTGGTGATGTCAAGGTTGGTCACTTGGTTAAAGCAATCTTCCAGGTTTCTGTGCACTTTTGCCTACAGAGAAGGAAATGTGACACACACTTATAGGCAAAGAATTCTGTTAGATCTAGTTTAGGATTAACTGACCCACATAAGGGGAGTGGATCTGTGTTGAGCTGTCATGTTTAGTAAATCTAAACATGGACTGGGAATCTTTAGCTCCTTATTATCTGGATTTATATCAATGAATTATTGACAGGTAATTACTGAGAACTGGATTTGTTTAAGACCTTGTCATTCCTTATTGCTCCAATAACCTTAACCTGCTCTCTGAATTCTAGAGTCAGGCCAGCAGGAAATGTAAATATATTGTTTCATTAAGTAGGGCTGCAAGACATCGATATCTATATCTATATCTGTATCTGTGTCATCTGTATCTGTATCTACATCTACATCTATATATCTATCTATATCTATATCTATATCATCTATATATCTGTATCTATCTATATTGGCAGTAGGGAAAGGCATGGAAAATAATATTTGCAGGAAGGAGTTGGATTCTTTAGCTTAAAGAAGACTGATAAGGGTTTGATAAGCTCTGAAGTAGAAAACAAAGGAAGATAGTAATTGAATTTGGAAGACAAAGACAAGGTAAAGGCCAAACTATGGTTCGGTTCTACTTCTAATATAATAGATAACAAATTATAAACGGACTTTTCCCCTAAACTGATTGTAACTTTTACAGTTTGTTGTACTCTTTAAAAAAATATCACCTTTTTTTGACTGTCAGAGGACTTACTGCATATTTTGGGTCTATAGTGAGTATTTTGGGTGTGTCTGGTAGACGTGCTAGAATAAAATAAAGTGGTCAAAACTTGCGAAGCTACAAGAGCTAAAAGGAAGTCACTGGAAGCAAGTAGAGATGGTGAAATTCGGAAACGCAGAATCAAACATTCTGCTTCCATTATGCTGTTACTGCATAATTTAGTTTGTTTGCATTATATTTTGTGCTTTTTTCCTCACCCGCTCCCTGGATCTTCAGAAAGGAGCTCATTGCCAAGCTGGACCAGGCAGAAAAGGAGAAGGTGGACGCCGCTCAGTTGGCCCGGGAATTCGAGGCCCTGATGGAGGAGAACCGGACGTTGAAGCTGGCTCAGTCCCAATGTGTAGAACAGCTGGAAAAACTTAGAATACAGTATCAGAAGAGGCAGGGCTCATCCTAACTTGAAACTATTCAATGTGAGTGTAAAAGGTTGGTGACTGCTGTGTGCTGGCCAAAAGATTTTTGTTTTCAAGGGATAGTGTGTAAAGCCTACTGGTTCCTTTTATTACCCATGTTGCAAACATCTGTAATGAATTTAATGCTTGCCAGATCGAGTTTGCGAGAAGGGAGATTATATTTTAAATAAGATCATTAAAGCAAGCCTGTTGCCAATCTATGTGTTCAGAGATCATAACTCATTTCCAAAGATATATTTTTTTCTTATTTCCGAAGATGTGATCAGACTGTACATCAGGGTAGAAAATGATGAAAGTAGAATATTGATTGACTCGGCTAACAATCATGAACGGAATTAAGCCAGGAAAACAAACTGGTAAGATGCTCACTGCAGTTTCATACCTGTGTACTTTTAAATTTCACATCTTGAATATTTCAACTGTGCTCCAACCTGAAGTCAGAAACTTCTGCGTACATTTTTATGTTCACCAGAGTTAGGTTTAATCCCTCAATGACTGATGGTACTAAGAATAAATGGCTGCATATCATAAAAACTTCCTCGTGAAAATATTAGCAGAAAGCATGTTTGTGCCAAAGCATACTGCCAGTGCTAACTTGCTGTTGTAATAAAAAGCTGATAAGGCCGCATTTTTTTTTCACACCATGTTACCAGCCAGTAAACATCTCTGCCTTTGCTTGTGTGTGTTTTGGGGGCATGCGGGAAATGAAAAAGTATTGTTTGGACATTACTTTGGTGAGTTCCCATGAAAACATCAGTGAAACTATGACTATGACTTTGTTTTGGGTATAAGGAGAGGTTATGACTATGACATTGTTTTGGATATAAGGAGAGGTTTTGGATCAGTGATAACTAAGAAGAATATGTGACTACATTCAAGAATATGTGACTACCTACCACCATAGCTCCCCAAATGGATCTCTTTGTTTTATGTCCATTTCTATTCATGTAACTTCTTTTTCATTAAACATGAATCAAACTGTCCGTCTGTAGTTTGTCCCTTTCGTAACTTCCCTCATGCTAACATTAGTCGGGACTGGCTAGCCTGGGTCAAAACGTGTTCTCAGTTGTATTTGTATGTGCAGAATCAGCAGTGAGGCCCCTTTTCTTAGAAAGACTGTGGTTTCTCATATAAGTCATGCAGAGTTCTAATAGTCAAGACGATGCATTAATGTCTTAAGGTATTTGCCCAGAAAACATAAAAGAGGATGGTTGATTAAAACAACAGGGTGGCCAAGGATAGACTAGTTGTTACGGACAGGGGGTAACTTACCCCTAGGGGGACATGTGGCAAGGTCTAGAGCCATTTTATTCTTGTTACTGTCACGACCAAGATGAAGAGGCATCTAGAGAATAGTGGCCAAGGATGCTGCTAGACTTCGTGCCATGCACAGGATAACACCCCCAGCTACAGAGGATTGTCTGGCCCAACGTGCCAATGGTGACAAGTCTGATACACCCAGGACGAGACTAGTCACTGGGCAGGTGGGCAGATGCCAAGAGGAAGCGCATTGCAGGGTCACGAGTTTGTTGCCAGCTGGTGCAGAGTCCATGAAGTCTCTAAATCCCTGGCCCTCAGTTTCCTCATTTGTAAACTAAACCTTTTTGCTAGATCTCAAACTTTTAATGTTACACATGTCTATTCACTCTGAAGGTGCTTTAACATTTGACCTAAGATGAAAGTCCCTATTATCCTGGTCGAAACTTCCTCTTCAGTAACTCTTATACATAATAATATACAGAAGGGATTGTCTGCTAAATTTATATAAATCCAGGGTTAATGGACTGGGAGAATGAAGCATACGTTACCAATGTCTAAACATAGGAATTAATTTTTGGTCATTGCCCATCTGAAGAAGGTTACATATATTTATAGAATTCAAGCAGTCATGGCCCCTTAAAGATAATTGGGGGCAGGGAAATATAGTTCCAAAATATCTTTGCTCTATGAGGATGAAAATAATTTAACAGAGTCAAAATGTTGCAACACCGCTGGTAATATATTGAGGAGACACTGCGTAAATAGTTTTAATGTCTGTGCCTGTCTCAACCTGAAATTTTATTATGTGTTTCCTAAAGGTATCTACTTATGACTCAAAAGCAAGAATTTCCCTATGTGTGTGTGTTTGAGGCAGGCTTTTATTCACTGAAAATATGAAACATCATCTACTTTTGAAGCATTGTCAGAGAAATCTAAAGGCAAAATTTCTTGCATTGCCAATCTTATCTTTTCATTAATATTCCCTGCAGCCTTACTCACCTCTGCATGTTATCTATATACACAGAATCATTTAAGAATTTCCTATCTTCAAATACATTTAGAGTATTATTGATATTAACAATAATGAAAATGATATAGAGCATTAAAAATGAGCACAGAGGTCCAATTGAGGTGAAGATATTTGCTTTAGAGGTGGAATTAAAGGAAAATGTAACCTATATTATATTCTTCACTTGCTCTGCTAGAGATTTGCTCTCTGTGGGTCATTTAGTTTATGTAGACACGAAAAGAATGTGGTTATATGTGGCTAGGGGTCAAATCTCCAATCACTGGAAAGGGCAGGACATGTGCTTTATCTCCTTCTGGTATCTGGACTTGGATGTATCATGAAGTCAGTATAAATAAGGAGATAAGAGCCACCTGGAATTCAAATCCAATTCAACAAAAGTTTATTATGCACTTTCCTAGTGCAGGGCAGAGGAATAGCAACAGAAGATGCAAGAATGAATTACAGAGTCCTAACTTTCGAGATGTTCCAATTTAGTAACAGAAATAGCACATATGTTCCCATTTCTGAAGACATGAATAAACATAAGGGCAATAAGATAGATGAAGTTTTCAGTAGTAGTTCGAGGAAGGAAAGAGTGACATGAGCAGAACGACAATGACTGGGAAGCACAGAGTTAGGGCCACAAATATGGGGGCCGTGAAGAGTCTTCCTGTAGAATATATGCAGGGGGTAGTGAAAAATGAAGTTGAGAAGTTCCGCTGGGCCCTGGTTGTGGGGGGACTTAAGACAGAAATGTTAAAAACATTTTTTAATGTTTATTTTTGAGAGAGAGAGAGAGACAGGATGTGAGTGGGGGAGGGGCAGAGAGCGAGGAAGACACAGAATCCAAAGCAGGCTCCAGGCTCTGAGCTGTCAGCACAGAAACCAGTGTGGAGCTTGAGCCCACGAATCATGAGATCATGACCTGAACCCAAGTCAGATGTTTAACCAACTGAGCCACCCAGGCGCCCCTGGATAGGAATGTTTTGAAATGAGTCGTGAATGGTCAGGGCAGGACTTGAAGATAAGCAATATAGTTGTAGTGCATGGGGTGGATCACATGAGATAGAGACCAGAGGCATCAGGAACTGTCAGAAGGTTAATAGAAAGGAGTGTGCAAGAAGAAGGAGGTCGCAATGGAAATGGAGTAACAGACTAGGAGGGATGGAGAGACATGATAAGTAGAATCCATGTGACTTGGGATGAATTCCATACGTAACTGAAGCAAAGATGATGAGAGGCAACATTTACTGAGCCCCTTCTGTGCCAGACTATGCCAGTGCTTTACATAGGCTGTATTGTTAAATTCTTTTTTTTTTTTTTTAATTTCTGAGAGAGAGAGAGAGACAGTGTGAGGAGGGGAGGGTCAGAGAGAGGGAGACACAGAATCTGAAACAGGCTCCAGGCTCGCCGTCAGCACAGAGCCCGATGTGGGGCTCGAACCCACAAACTGTGAGATCATGACCTGAGCTGAAGTTGAATGCTTAACCGACTGAGCCACCCAGGTACCCCTGTATTGTTAAATTCTTATAATGACCTGAAAGGTTGCTGTAATTATTCTCATGCTCCCAAATTAGTAACCCATGTTACGTAGTTTGTACAAATTTCCCTAGCATTGGGATTGAAATACAAAGTTTTGTTCATTTATTAATTCATTCATTCTTTTAACTATTTCCTATAAGCTTGTACTTTGTTAGGCATTCTAGAAGGTTCCAGGAACACAACAGTGAACAATAAAAAAATGGGTGCTGTTCTTTAGGTACCCTTAGTCTAGTAAGGGAGGTAGACATTTACCCAAATACCCACTTGGGGTAGTCTTTTATTTTATTTATTTTATTTTTATTTTTTTGGGAGAGTGAGAGAGCGAGCGAGCGAGAGAGAGATAGAATGAGCAGCGGAGAGGTGCAGAGGTAGAGAGAGAATCCTAAGTATGCTCCATGCTCAGGACAGAGCCTGACATAGGGCTCCATCCCACAACCCTGGGATCACAACCTGAGTCAAAATCAAGACCCAAATGCTCAACCAACTGAGCCACTCAGAAGCCCTGGGGTCATCTTAAAACATATCCAAAAATCCCCTCCAAAGGTAGAGCATAAATTCCCTACCCTGTAGTGTGGGTGGGCTAAAAGACCTGTTTTTAACAGACAGAATAGAGAAGAAGTGGCAGTATGTGACTTCTAAGGTCAAAAAAGACACAGGAGCTTCCTTCTCATCTGTTCTCTGGGATCACTTGCTCTGGGGAGAGCCATTTACCATGTTCGGAAGAGACTCAAGCAGGCCATGGAGAGGCACACAGGGTAAGGAACTGAGGCCACATGAGTGAACTTGGAAGCAGATCTTCTAGCATCAGGCGAGACTTCAAACGGCTGCAGCCTGGCTGACATCTTGATGCAACATCACGAGACTCTGAGCCACAGCCACCCAACCAATCTGCTCCTGGTTCCTGAGCAGCAGGAACCAAGAGATGATAAATGTTTGTTGTTTTAAGCTATTAAATTTCGAGGTGATTTGTTATGTATCAAGAGATAACAAATATATCATGTAAATGAGGTGCCAAGCAGAAAAGAAACCTAGTTTATGAAAGAGAATCTAACTGAGATAAGGAGGCTGGGATGATTTCCTTAAGGTGGTGACTCCTGAGCTAAGATTTGGTAGATGAATAAGAGCTAAAGAGGCTAAGAAGGTGGGCGGAGGAAGGCATCTAGACAGAACGAAAACATGTACAAAGGCCCTGTGTCATGTTCAAAGACTTGGAAGACCAGCGTGGCTGAGCATGAAGATGTAGGGGGAGTGTGATACAGATGAGGTTGTAGAATAAGGCAGAAACTTGAAGATTGCGTTAAGAATTTTGGCCTGAATCCTAAAAGCAATAGGAAGCCATTGAATTTAAGCATAGGGCGTACCATGTGAACACATTATCTTCCATAGTAACATGTTTGAAGATTTTTCTTTTTTAAGTTACTTCACTTTAAGTTGCTGAGAGTGCTATACAGGAGTATTTATATTGTATACATTTAGAGAGATAGATGATTAGTTATATGGGGTTATTATATGCATTTGATTTGATAAGTCATTTTAATGAATATTTTTCTCCTTAGAGAATCATAAATGCTTGGTAGTATCACATGGCCTGGTGGAATAAAAGACAGACTGAATCTACCTTCACAGTCACCATTAATAGATTAAATTAGGTGACACTAACAATCCTTCTTTTTAATGAGTATTTCTATTATCCGCCTGTTTTTAAGGGTTTATCTCATGTTTCAAAGTTGCCAAACCTAGAACTGGCAAGAGAATATTCTTAAGCAATTAGAACTTCTATGACAATATTTTTCACCCATCTTGTTTTATTTATTTATTTATTTTGATTTAGTATGCAGTATTGTTTGTTCTAGGAGATAAACACTTGCCATCTATTTTTATCAAATACATCATTTTCTTTTCTTTTTAATTTTTTTAAACACCTATTCATTTTTGAGAGACAGAGAGATAGAATGCAAGCAGGGGAGGGGCAGAGAGAGAGAGAGAGGGAGACACAGAATCTGAAGCAGGCTCCAGGCTCTGAGCTGTCAGCACAGAGCCCA